CCACATTCATCACATTTATAAGGTTTCTCTCCAGTATGGATTCTCTGATGAACATGAAGAGATGAGCATGTAGTAAAGTGCTTTCCACATTTATCACATTTATAAGATTTCCTTCCTATATGGATTATGTGGTGAACATGAATGGATGAACTTTTCCTAAAGGATTTTCCCCATTCATCACATTAATAAGGGTTCTCTCTCATATGGATTCTGTGATGAATATGAAGGAATGAAAGTTTGCTATAGGACTTTCCACAAACATTACATCTGTATGGCTTCATTTCTGCAGTGTGACTTGAATCATTCTGAATGATATTTGAATTGAAATCAAATAATTTATCACATTCTTTAATCTGGCAAAATTTTATTCCTTTATGCTTCATATTATCCATCTCCAGATTTGAGGATTCAGTTGTTACCTTCTTACGTGCATCACCTCTGAGTCTCTCATAAATTTCTTGAATATTAGTTTCATTATACTGAATACAATTTGAGAATTCATTAAGGATTTGGTCATGGCGTTTGCTTGTCCTGTGCTTCTCTTGGCTATGTTCATGTTTTTGCAAAGAAGTGTTTGAGTACTTATGAAAAACTTTCTGGTGTTCATGAATTTGAAAATGATTAACTGCTGAGCATGTATTTATGTGAGAATTACTAGGAATTATATCATTAATAGAGTAAGTCCATGAGTTCTTTCCATTAAAAGGTATTTCCAACTGACTATTCTGGTAATTATTTACCAAAGAAAACTTAGCAAGGTCATTATCAACATCACTAAATATATTGGAATTTTCACAAATTCTTTCCTTATGATACATATTATGCCACATTTCATTCCTAAAATATTTATGTTGATCTAAATTTTGGAAGTTGTCATATAGTGGAAGTAATTGTTCTGGAACCTCTACTGAACTTTGAGTATAGAAAATACCATACTGCTGACAATTCAAATATTTTTCTGTGCTTAAAGCCCTCTTTTCTTTTGGGACTATTAGAGTATTATTTAATTTCACAGCACTTGAAAAGTTTTGAAAAGACTTTGAAGTGTTACACTGTGTGTCTCCTTGTGAAGTTTTCATATATCCATGTAGAGTATAGCCAGGTGTCCATTCTTGGTGTAAATATTTTTCCATATAATCATTTGGTTCTGAACTTGTAACTGACACAGAGGATGATGTCTTTTGAGATCCTAGAGGTTCCTGATGTTTTTCATAAGTAATGCCTTTGGTATCTTTTTCATAAACATCACTCTCATTATAACATAATTCATATTGTCTATTGTCACCATGATATTCCCAGAACTTCCTTGTATGTAGCATGTCAAGTCCACTAGTTTCAAATATGCCTACTCTTTCTCCCTGTAAAGAATCTTGTTTGTACTTCTGTTGGAAAACCTCCTGGGTCTGGTGATATGACAGAGCTGGAAGAAAAGAAAACAAACTCTTGATTTGTAAAAATAAATAAATAAATAAATAAATAAAACACTCTAAGAATATTATGCATAAAATGATAGCAGTCCTTGGAACATGTCAGGACTGTATAAAAGGAAATTTTCAAAGATTTGCTGTAGGAACAAAATGTGCTTATGAAAAGTGAGTGTAACTCATAGAATGTTTATCCTTCAAAATGTCATGAAATAGGCAAACTTAGACAACAATTTTCAAAAACATTTAAGCTATCTCCCACTTGCCATGTGCATTGGGAACATGCCTATTAAATTCCCTGATATAATTCTTTCTGCTTACACAATAATAGTCTAACAAATCACAAGTTTTTTTGACACTACAGCCTCTTCTTTCCTTTATTAAAACAGGGTAACTGGTATTGAACCCCAACCTATTCTCTCCTACAAAGAGTGTAAGCCCTACATCCATTCTCTAGGCATACAATAGATACTACACAATTGTCTGCCATCCCATTTGCATTATTGCTATCTCCCATAAGAGTGAGTCACTAGGTCCATGCCAGCATATCCTCTCTTCCACACCAACTGTACAAGTAACATATGATAACCTGACACTGGATCATTTATTACACAGACAATAAAAATAGAAACTACAACCTGTGCGGCTAAATCTCACAAACACAATAAAAGGTCCGGGCTTTCTTCTACCACTTACAAGGAAATACAGAATACTTCCCCGTTCTATTTTCTGAAAATCTTCAACACTTTTGATGCCAGTCTGGTAACACACATTTTACACCTTATCTCAGATTGGTGAATCAACAATATCCCCTCATTTACATTTCCTCACCAATCCCAGGCTCTACAATGTAGTCCACCCTATGTATTCATATCTCGACTAATCTCTGTCCAGAATACTCTTATATTCACCCTTACAATGAGATGCATATCTTGTAATTCTGCCCAACCCCTGTACCTGCGACACCCTGCCACAATGCTATATATAGTTTTCTTATATAAGCTTCTCTACATTTATTGTTGTCCGTTTAATCTGGTTTTTAAAATGACATAGAAATGACTAAATAGTTAACAAGCTCAATTTTGATAATGAGAACATGATCATTATGTATCCTACTTCAAAAAACAATATTTCCTAAAGGTCAGATACTTGACAAATTTGTTTTCAAGTTGCCACATTATTAAAGTAGTCAAAGTGTTTAAATTAGACAAAAAGAAACAGCCCAATACAATTAGTGCGGAGAGCTCTCTTTCTGCACTCCTTCCATATTCTCCCTGCCTCTATGTGGTCTCTCTATCTCTTGTTCTTTCTCTCTCCCTCCCCCCTCTCTCCCCAGTAAAGATCTAGAATTGTAAAAAAAAAAATTAGTGAGTAGAAAGGCAGGTATCTGACTGATGTAAGAGACCACAGAGACATAAATGAAGACAGTCCAGTGTTTAAAAAAAACCTCAAAAAAAGCTATAGAATTATTGATGAGAACTCAGTCTGAAGTGAAGCCATAACAGGAAACTAATTAGCAAAGTCAACATAAAA